CAAGTATAATGATCCTCTCATACAAGTTTGCTGAAATCAATTTCACCCTAAATATAAAGACAGATTTGCAAATATGAGACTGCTCTGACATTTCCTTACAAGCGTTTTTTCTTAAATATATTTTTCGCAGTGGCTTTGCCTCCAGAGAAGACAGATGGAGTTTGCAGTGGAGATGAAAAGAAAGCAGAAAAAGAAAGTGACACACGCACAGGTTCCAAGAAGCAACTGAAATTTGAAGTAAGTCCTCTATATTTTAAAGTTTCACTGTACTGATATAATTATGGTATAAAAATAACCTGTGGACTGAAGAGTGTCCTCTGATGCATGTATATAGCTCCTGACAATTGTAACGGGTACAGGAGGAGGCAGAATTGGCACGAGTCAGTGTCTTACTATTGGTGCTCCTTATGAGGTGATTAGTGAGATTTATTTCCAGGTTTGGAGAGGATCAAATGATGATCGTTCCTCTGTAGGATCTGAAATGTATAGTAAGAAGAGGCATTCAGTTTAACCCTTTACCTATGATCCTTTCTTTAGTAATTTATTATGTCAGCTACCATGTTATCAAATCTTTAGATTGACTTTCATGGACTATTGCACTTAGTTAAATCTGCCTAGTGTAAAAGATGTTTCTGAAATTTCCTTAACCATCAGTCTTCTGTGCCTGGGCCTCCGAAGTGAAATCACCCTGAGCTGCTACATGGGAAATCCATCTGATCATGTGGCAGGAGGAAAAGGATCCTGGAGGGCAATGAGTCTGATGGTCTATTTCCTTGTAGACTTACAAACATCATAAAACTGCCAGACATTGTGTGTAGTTGGCAGGTTTTGTTTATACAGGGAGTGATTTAATAAATATGAGTACTGAAATGTGCTGTCATCCGGCTAGAGGGCTGTCTGTCTTGGTGAGGAGGAAGATACTCCGGTACCGGCAAGAAACAGCACAAATTTTCATCTCTCTGCACTCCAGCAGACGTGGCAAACTTCTACCTTTCAGTGCTGTCAGCCTGTCACAGTAATGAGCTTTGCGTTCCTCAATTGTTATTTAAAAGACCATGCAGCCACCTTGCAGCATGGCTCGAGCGTTCGTTTCCTTGTCTAGAGCAGATTTAGTTGCTGGTTTAAGGCTGATTAAAGGGGGGTAGCTTTCCCATAGGCAGTTCAGGTGTTGCTCGGTGCTTGTGTGCCTTCTGGGGGGAGGTGACTTTTCCTGCCTTTTGTTTTTTTGCACAGCAATAACTCTTTTTTCTAGGCACATTTTATATTCTACCTTGAGTAGCAGACGTTTGCAGCCAGGGAAGTCATGAGAAACTGCAATTAGCAGTGCCTTGATATTTGAATGTTGGAGGACACCTGTCAACATGGTTGGTGCCAGAGTAGCTGGAACTCTACTGTACCGGCAAAGTCTGTGTTTGTTCCCAAGTAGTTCTTGGCATGCCATAAAGGTTAGCACTTGGTACTAGGCTCCATGACTAATGCAGGGAAGGTTGCCACAGCTCTTAACTAAGCAGAGCACATCCTCACATAAAGATGTTATGTTAGGCAATGTGGGACAGGGAAGTATTAATATGTGGCAAGAAACCAAGTATTGATATTTTTTCCCTTGTTCTACAAATGAAAGTTTTCCAGCTATGTAAGCTAGGAGCTCAGAGATTGGTACATGTTTCAAAGGTATAAAAGAATCAGAAATGCAAGTGTTGAGACAAGAGGTCTAAATCTGAGGTGAATGTGATTTGGCTTTTAAAGGTGCTGGGAATGTTTATGTAACATGAAACTGTGTTTCCACGGTAGAGTGTGGGGCACTTGGCAGCTTTCAGCCGGGCTTGTTACAACTGGGAGAAGACTGCCTTTGAACTCAGCAGGGGACAGGGGGTACCCGTAACTGCTGTAGGGAATTGGTTTCAAGTCAGAAGATCAACCAGGTATTTTGAGCTCTATCATGCCAAAGCTATTTGGAGCTGTTTATTTTACTTCCATACAGTGGCTTTCATTTTAATTGCACTGTAACTTTTCTGTTTTGCCTTGTTGTGGCTCTGGATAATTCTGATTGCACAGATCTTGGGAGAAAGCAAACGATTTGCACCCAGGTGACTGGAGTCAGTCAAAGTGCATCCTTTGTTCTTGACTGAAGTCTTGGTTTTGGTTTAGGGAATTTTTTTCCCTTTAACAAATTGATTCTTTCAGGCTTTCCACAGATCACACTCTCACTAACAGAAGCGCAGTTCAAATAAGGACCAGGCACTACTCCCAGGTTGTTCTTAACCGGCCAGTTCCTAGGCAGGCTCCATTTCAGGAGCTTCAGTGGCATGACGCTGTACTGCACTAACTCTGGCAACCTTTGGGTATCAAGTATCTGTGTCAAGGACAGGTCTCACTGGTGGGGATTTGTGTTAATGACCACTCTTGGCACTGTGGTGTAGTGCCTCGTTCTGTGACTCTGTTTCTGTTATCTTTCTCTTCCTGAGTTAATTGGAGTTTTCTTTCTCACTTTTTAGTGGGAAATCTTATTATATTTCAAGAGCTTCAGGGAGTAGTTTTCTTGTACCTTTTTGTGTTTTCTACAATGAAGCAGAAAGGATCTTGCAGGTTCCTCGAAGTCTAGCCCAAGGGAGTTAGGATTATCATGTGACTGTGATAAGACTCCTTCAGTGTGGTGGACAGAGGTCTCCCCGGGACATATCCTGGAAGCTTCCTCCCGTGGAGGGAGGGAGGAAAGAAGAAAGCAAGCAGCCTCCTCCTATGGAGAGTCTCCTCTGCAAACAGGCCTTTTGCTTTAGGTAATGAGCTGCTCTTTGCATGTTTCTTAGGAATTGCAATGTGATGTGTCTGTAGAGGAAGATAACAGGCAAGAATGGACCTTCACACTGTATGACTTTGATAACAACGGAAGAGTCACACGCGAGGTAAGCAAAGTACAGCTGCCCCTTTGTGTGCAGCGTTTGCTAACAAGAGAAGTGTTTTATAACAGGAACATTTTTTCTTCTATGAAATAGAGGTGTCCTGCCAACTTAAACAGCAGTTTCCATGGACCCTTCCCCCCTAGAAACAATCCCACCAGTAGTTTACTGTTTTCAGATGTACTGTACCACTTCTTAAGCTGGTTGTTGTTTAATATCTGGGATTAGCCTTTAAAAAATAGTACTGGCATTCGAGGAGGAAAAATATCTGAAACAACTGAACAACTAAACACATTGTCAAAATAAACTCCTGCAAATGTATATTGTTCTGGCTTCTATCCTGCTTTTCAGAGTTAAGCTAACCAAATAGCAAGGTTGCTTTCTGACATTCTTTCCAGAAGGACTAACTATACTGTTCTGTTGTTTTCATGAATATTAGGCTGATCTCTGCCTTCTCCCTCTAAGTATAAATAACGCTGATCATACTTACTGCAGGACCATAGTGAATGGCTGTCAAAGCATACCCGTGTGTATTTTTTGTCATCAGGATGTCTTCAGGTCAAATTTCCTGTGCAAATAAGCCAAATAAGAGGATGTATAAATTAGAATACAGTCCTTTTTCAGAACTATTTTTATCCAAATTGAATGATAGTTCTAGAAGAATGTCTTTTACTGAGATTTACTGCAATGTGCTGTCATTGATTTTTTTGTGAGGTGTGTTGACTGGCTCCCATGCCTTCAGATAATCAGCTGAAAATTGACAGGTTTTGTCTCTCTTGGCTCTTATGCTGGTGCCTGTGAAAATTGCTAAGAATTGATTGAAAGGAATAGGGTAACTACTGAAAGTGTAGTGGCCTCGGACAACAAATGGGGGTAGAAATTTTTCCTAGAAGACTGAAGCAAATCTCTTTTGACGTTTATGAACATATTTCCAAATGTGGTGGTTGTTCAGGGTTTTTAACATGTATGTGGGCATCATTACTAGGCTTTTTTTGCTGTCTCTACTCTGATAGTGCTTTAAATAGTCAAATGAAATCTGTGCCCCTCATGCAGATGAAATGTTACAGGCCAAGTCCAGAATTTCAAATGGGAAGATGAGATATATAGAGAGGGCAAGGGGAAGGGGGGCTGGGGAAGTAGTATTGTATTTGTTAATGTATGGGGAACAGAGACCAGAAGAAGGAAATAACTTGCCTGAAGTCTCACAAGAACCTAGTGGCAGATTGAACCCAGATCTTTCAAGACCCAAGGCTAAGTCTTCATTACAAGATTATCGTGAGTCTCAAAGAATAGGGGAAAAATACACAAAACCCAAACCCACACACATGGGTGTCCTTTACATTCAGGCATGGAATTCCCATTAATGTCAGTGGGAGTTCCATGTGCTGAACATAATGAGAATATGCTTTTAAGTATGTATACAATAATTATTTGTGATTATGTGGTACACCAAAGAGCTTAATTTGACTGTACTTAGAGAATATGTTACAGCCAAATTCTACCTCTCCCTGGTACAAGAGCAGACTGCAGCTTAACTGAAACCAAATCTGTGCAGGGATTGAAAATTATACTACTCTGAGGTCTGGAGGTTGCTATATTCAGGCTTGAACCTGTGCCAAAAATAATTCTTTTAACCAAGGGACCAAATAGGTTGATAATTTTCAGCTCTTTACATGTGAACAAAGATAGAAACAAATAGTATGCACAATTGCAGAGTTTCCCAGTTATGTTACACGCTTCTTTTGCAAGCTGTTCCAGTGCCATTTGTATAATCCATCTTGTTGGTTGTCTTCTGTTGAATCCAGATACGATTTAAGAGTTGTTTGTGCAAGAATGACTAACGATAGCAGCTCATAGATAATCTTGGCCACAAATAAGGAATTTCAGTCTCTTCATATGACATAGAATTTCTTGTTCTGTTAGCCCCTGAGAGACTGGCAGTCAACATAGTCGGCTTGATACTGTTGTTCGTCAAGCAGCTCTGCTCCTGATCCAGCGAAGGACTTAACGATGGCAAACGTTAAATGTGTGAATAGTTTCAATTAAAATGAATGGAACACATGCTTTGAGTTAAAACTATGTGAAGCACATTGCTGGATCAGGGACAGAACGACAGTCTGAGGCAGAGGGCTAATCTGTACCAGTGCCATTTAGTGAGCTGATGAAAATGCTTTCAGAACCAGTCAGCTTTTCTAAACAAAGGTCGAGTGTTCTGGTGAGAAAGCTTAGTGTGGACCTCTTCCCCTTCTTTGAAAATTTCCCTTTAATGTCTCCTGGATTTATAGCCAGATTCATCAAAGAGATGAAATTTCTTAAGTCAGATTTCTATCTGTAGACCTTGAGGTGCTTTACAAAAAGTCAGCCTTATCATTCTTGTTCTTCGTGTTGGAAAAGTGAGACACTGGAAAAGGAAGTGACTTGCCCACTCAACATCCATTTCATTTGATTCAAAGTCATTGTGTTTAAAACATTGGACTTCATGTCCAGGGAGTTTCCAAAGGAATACACGGTGTTAAATTAAGTTTGTAAGAGGCATGTAGGTGGGGTGCAGTTTTACGAGTGGACTAAATGTCTTTTTCATTAAAATGTTTGAAAATTGTAAATAAGATACGGATTTAGTTACTGGATAAAATTTCCCTTGGGTTTTACACAATGACAGATCACCGCAAGAGCATTCAAATTCCATCTTAGTGAAATTTCTTCTGGATCTTAACAACATCTTCAGAACTTAATACTCCTTTGATTTCCTCCTAGAGTCTGTATGGCTTATTCCATAGTCCTTATAATTAGAAATTCAGATCTAGTCATGCTTCTTGAAGAGATACACCCATTATGAAAGCATAATTATTAGGATGGCAAATTATAAAATTAACATTACTGTATGTTATTAAACTACTGCTTTTTCTGTCATAAAATACAACCATTTTTCAGTCCTTTTGGTGTAGTGGGAGATAACTTTTCCTGCTCTAAAATGTATATTACAAAACTTGGCTAATAATGTTTCCCTTCATTCCATAAGCCGTAAGAGGACAATTCATTATGTACTACAGGCCTTTTTAGAACTGACAGCTGCACTGTAATTATCTTCACACAGATATTTGTAATCGGACTTGAAACTTGGATAATTGAACTAATGTGTTTTGATCCATGAGGTTTTATATTGAGCTCTCTGAATGTAATTATACTGCATAAACACTAGCCTTTTTTTTTTTTTTTCCTCCTTTCTTTCTTCTTGCAATCAGTTCTTTCTTTGGTGAGTGGCTGCACAGGAATAAAGACACAAGAAAGTTGCTTATCAGGAGTAAAAAAAAAGGGAATTTCTTCTAGACTAGTTGTTGAGTAGATAGCAAGTGAAGCTCCTTTTAGGTTCCAAATAATGTTTCAGAAACTTATGTGATCAAACAAAGCTGATGTTGCAATAAAAACATCCTGCTGTATGTAAAAATCAGACAACAAACAAAGTACAAATGAGACAGTTGTACTTTTCTTTTTCTGAGGGAACGGTAATGAACTGATATTGATGTTTCTCTTCATGCATTTTTAATGCTAAAAATGTTGTTTGCATCTTACATTAAATACCCATTTTTTCCTCTTATGTTTCTTTTTTTTTTCTCTCCCTTTTTAGTTATTTTTGCTTATACCCTCTGTAATGAGTGAAAAGGTTTGAGGTTATTTCTACATTCAGAATTCTGCACCAAACTTTTGATTTGGGGAAGGATACTGGCTTTTCTGGAGCTACCGTTTATCAGCCTGACCCTTATCTTGAAATTTGCTGGGTTTCACTGTGTTTGTCAACATTGTATTAACTCATGGTATAGAAGCAGCAATGGAACCAACAGATAGAGGAGTAGTGCCTGCCTGTATCAGAGGGGCCATCATTTCAGCCATTAGATTTGATGGATTTGTGCCAGAGAGAAATATTGAGAGAAAATATGACTTTCTCGTTTGGTTTTGAGGGGAGCCAAAGACATCTCTCCTGGACAAGTTACAAAGAATCAAACTGAATATTTTCTTTCAGTATGATTAAACTCAGTGGGGTGTTTAGTGGTTTGGTTGGTTTGTTTGTTTGCGTTTGTTTTTTGGGTTTGTGGGGGGTTTTGTGCAAATATCTCATTCTATTAAATTAATTCTGCTGGAAAAACCTCTTAGTTTCTTTTACAGAATATTTAGTTTGCAAACTAGTCCTGTGATGATAAACTACGCTAATACTGGAAAAACAAGGTCATCCCTGTACCACTAACGTTCCAGAGAAGTAAAAAATGAATACCTGGAACAGGGACTTTCTCAGTCACGTGAATTCTGTAAGGAATGAAGAATCCTTCAATGTAATTTGCTCTTATTCTTTTTTGCAGACCCATTAGTTTCTCTGAATGTTCTAAATTCCTGCTAATCTCCTAGTGGAGATCTGTGAAGTATTCTGCAGATACGTGTGTGAGTGCAGCATACGTGTGTGGCCTTAACTGTTTGCTTCTTAGTATTTCTAATGCAAGTATTTCTGGAAATCTACTGAAGTTGCTCTTTTTAATATACTTTTTTGTATTAGCTGCTTGATAAAATAAGATGTGAAAAACATGCAGATTAACACTGTTAAATCCTTCAGCCCTGGAAAAACCAACTGTAGCGTTCAATAAGCAAGACACAAATAAATCTGGGTATGGCATGTGCTGTTTGGGTACTACCCAGCAAGCATGTGTTTTCCCCTTGGAGGAAAAATCATCATAGTTTCAGTTTTCTTACTTGATTTAACTAGTTATCCCAGCAGAAATTCTGCATGCTAGAAGCCCTTCAGAAGTTAGTTAGATTCATGTGACCTGTTTCCCCTCTAAATATGATCTGTTTGCTATAAAGGAGAGAATTTTTTTCTTTAATTCTAATTTCTCTTTACCCATTTAGTATACTAATTTAAAAATCCACAATGATTTTTAACTAGAAATGGTTTAAAAGTACATTTCAGTTAAAAACCGAAGCAATGATATTTTTGGAAAAATAGGAAACACTGAAAAATCTGTTCTTGTTTATTTGTCACTTAAAAAGGGAGGAAGTTCGAGATATGTGGGATGAAACTTTTTGTGTGGGAAGTGCTGAGCAGTCTTAAGCAAAGCAGTCATGTGACTAGTAAAAATCATAATTCATTGTGCAGAAAAGTTAGATTCTTTGGTAGGTGGTCTCTGAGATGTGCTGGTTGGTGGCCCAGAAAAGAGGACAAATTAACTAGCTTTTATTCTTGATCTTTGATGCTAAATTTCTTGAGGACAGTGAAATGCACAAGCTGGTGTGTAGAAGGTAAAGCTGTGTTAATGGTTTTAGGTAGTTCTTAAAGGATTTTAAATGCAGATAACGTTCAGTGGAACAGCTTTCAAGGGGAACATAAATTGCTTTAATTTCCTGGCAGGCTACTGAAAGATGAAAATTCTTTTGGGGGTAAATATAACTATAAAATACAATTTTTGTACCATATTTTAATGATCTAGTGCTACTAATTTGACAAGAAGCCATTACTCAGCTGCCAAAAAAGGGCTGTGAGAAGGTAGATTTCGTCGCTGTTCAAAACTCGTTGACGAAGACTATTCCTACCAGATCAGTGCCTCAGGAATTTGTATGTTGTAATTGTGAAGCAACAACTGGAAAGCAACAGGAGGTTCAGGCTGCCTTGTAGCTGGTACCTACTCAGCCAGGACCTTGGTAGATGACTGAGTAGCGAATGACCCAAGCAGACTTGTTTGACCAAATCAGAACTGTCAGTTCGCTAGAATTTCCAACCCCAAACTAGGACCACAAGTAAATGAATACTATAATAAAAATGTTGTTGTCAGTATTTAAAAGATCAGCATAAGCATTAAGTGGTTACTTATGGATATCCCTAACCTCGATCTTGGTATATATCCAGTCTGACAACCACGTTCATTCAGTGCCAGAATGCAAAGCAGTTCAGATTGTCGTGGCGGAAGCCAGGTATTAAACACATAACGAACTGCACAGGCAGCAGAGCGTAAGGCCACAAAGTGTCCTGATACCTCCGTGCAGCCTCTTGAACTGTGTGGAGCCTGGACATTAATTTGGGTTAATTTGGGCCCGTTTGGCTGAGAGATGTAAATTGTCCTGATGTGATATGTGCATGCACATATTTCTGAGTTGCCAAGTATGTGTCACACAAATGTTGCGTCTGGCCTTCCTTGACAGCATTTGGGAGTACTTTTTAACTGCTGAGTCAAGCTGCTTGTTGAGAAAGACCCTCACAGAACACAAGAGGCAGATTGTATGTCAGTTAGCAAGTTAGACCTCATGACTGGAAAAAAAATCATGTAAAAGGACAGTGGGAGCAAAGACTTTTTTTCTTTGCCTATTGAAGTTAAAATAGACTAGATGATCAGCTTGTACAAACATCTGGCATAGCTGAAAAAGGAAGGAGGACAGATTATTGTGAATGAAAGAGTTGATAATAGCCTCTTGATAGTAGCCTTGTGTGGAAAGATGCCATGTTGGCTAACCAACACTTGTTAAGGAATGTATGGGAAAGGCTCCATTCACCGAGTGCAGAGTGTATGAGGCCCTGTTGAATAAATATGGTGCTTAAGTATTCTGCTGAAGGGGAAGGGTTGGCTTATCGAGGTGTAGGATTTATAGCACAAGCATCCTAGAACATCGTTTATGGAGGGCATATAAAGCAACAAATATGTTTTGTGTCAGTCTGTTCATGTTCTTGCTTGGTTAGGTTTTTCTCATAGATGAAATAAAAATCCAGCCCTTCAAGCTGACTGTCAGATATGGCTGTTGTCTATTTAGAGGTCTGGCAAGGTTTCAGATTAGAGTGGAAGTGTGAGAAGTGAAATGTGTTAAAGAGTTGTGAGGTGTCCACCAGATTGTCACTGAACAGTCTCTCCCTCATTCAAGCTTTAGACAGCAGTTCTTGCCAAAAGGATGGAAAGCAGCTACTGACATGGTAGTAACAGTCCATATATAGACACTCTTGTGGCAATGGTAGAAAAAAGTATTTCAGTGGGGAAGTAAAGGAGAAACTGCAAATTCTGCTCTCTTTTTTTGAATATGTTGTCTTGAACTCACAAGTCTGGAGAAAGTCCACTGAGTGCAGAAAAGTCAGCCAGAGCACATGTTAAGACAAAATGTGGACCCTCCAGGATTTAGTTATTCATTCTGCCTATTGAGATGGATAATCATGTACTATAAAATCATTTGTCCTGGCCATAAGGTCAGTATTTCCCTAAGTTCCATGTGCGTAAAAATGAGTATTTCTGTGTCACCTTTAAAGCTGGTTAGATAGTGAGGACCGTGTAGTATATTGACTACTAAAGTACTGGGACCCATTAATGCATAAACTTTGAGCTGCCATTGTTAGAGGCATGACCTGTGGGCAAAGGAAAAATTGTAGAGGTTTTGAAGTTTTATAGACCTGACCCTTAATCCTCAGAACCAGTTACACTTAACAAAGGGTGATTTAGATATTTTCTTTGTGCTTGCAGGCATCTGGAAAGAGGTCAGGTACTAGGATAGGTGAAGGAATAGGAAGACCAGAATGGGGAAATTCTCAGGTATACATTGAATGGTATCTTTACAGCCTGCAATGATCAGTATACTTTGGCCTTAGGTTGGTGCCCAAGATCAGTTTGGGTGAAATCCCTTTGGGGAAAAGCAGTGAGCCAAGAGATCTCCTTTTAGTCCTGCCAATTTAAGGTAGTAACCTATTTGAGCCTGACAGGATTAGATCAACCTGAGAGACCTTTGAGCGTCACCAGCTACTAAACAGTGTTTCTCCTGTTTGAAACAATTGGCAAGTGTTCTTTCTGATACAGCCAGACATTTAAGCATTTGTTCATGTCCCATTGCCTTCAAAGATATGTGTGAAGAACGTTCTATAATAGGCCTGACTGGATAATCGCTGCTGTTCAAAAATATAAGTTTAGAACTTGTTTGAATTTTGCAAAAAAAGCTAGACTCCACATATGGTAGAGTGACATTTATACGTCATGTATGTCCGAACCTGAGGTTTACAGTTCTGCCACTTCTCTTACTGGTTTTCCTCTATATAGTCAACCATTTAACTATACCAAGAAAAAAAACCAAGAAGTAGTAAGACTTTCATGTCCAAGATTTTCTTCAATTGCTCTATTTGTCTGGATGATGTGAACTCCATTTTTAGTGCAGTATGAATGGTTGTTCCTGGGTTCTGTTGAAACCAAAGAAAAGAAAAGGCAGAACACAATTTTGCTGATTCACAGTTTGGGAAACCTGAATGCCTCGTGCTTTTATTATTGTTTTGATCATTTGTTTTGACCATTTCATAAATCTTATGCCATTTGATGAAGAAGAATATGGATCTACTTGAATCATTCCCTTCTGTGTCTGTGACTTGTATTACAGTCTCCGTTAGAAAAAATGGGGGTTAACAGAAGAGAGAAATGGATCCTTTCTTGAAAGGTTCTGTGCAAATTCTGATCTTTTAAATTCGGTGATTTTGGAGGATATTTCAGCATTTAATAGTCCCAAGTCTAAAATAGTTGTAAGTATCGAAGCTGCAGGTTTCATACCATTTTCACAATAGCGCGCCTCTTTGTGTTTCAATCCAACTATAGGATATTACCAGCTTGCTTCATACCATCTATGAGGTAGTTGATGCATCAGTAAACCATTCTCCTAGTTCCAGCAAAACTCTGCGAGTGAAACTTACTGTGGCACCAGATGGCAGCCAGAAGAAAAAGAGTATCTTGTTAAATCATACCGGTAAGGATGTGCAATCAGCCACTGGCAAAGAATACCAAAAACTTCAAGAATCCCTTAAAAATCCATCTTTGTATTTTGTTAATACAAATAAATACATAGTTAAATGCAAATAATTATGTGGGTATTTTAAACTCCATGAAGCTGTTTTAAGATCTCGGGTGCAAAATTGCCTACCCTCCTTTCAGTGTCTCTGAAGCAAATTAGGGTTCCCTCTCCTGATTGATTGTTTCTTCCTGGCAGCAGCAATAACCCATATGTTGTGTAATTGTGTACTGCAAGACAGATTTGAGGCCTTTTTGACTTGTACCATTTTAACTCTGCTGTTACTACAATGCTCTGTTTGTGTGGAAGCAGGTGTAGTGGTATAAAATGGATTTTGCAAGCACATAGCTATCACTGCTGCTGACTAAGAATAAACAATTAAGCAGAAGTAACCTTTATGAATCTATGTATAAACCCTGTATGTTTTTCTGTACCGGCAGAGTCTGTCATTATAAGATGGCTTTTACTCTGATGGCTTATTCACCTTATTCACTCTGATAGTAGTTGTATCAGCATAATTACTTCAGTAGATGAAGTAGTACTAAATTAAAATACTTAAAAGTATTTAAAATAATACTTTAGTAAAAAACGTGGGCACCTTATCCAAAAGGAGAGCCTTGTTACCTCAATTTGAATATATATATCCACTCAGTCAAGTGCAGACATAAACAAACGTGCACTGCTGGGAAGCTGTGAGATGTGTTAGTACAGCATCGAGCTCCCAACTGCCCAGCTCTCCTGAGGGATGAGTATATCAGTGTGAAGGTGGCTCCGATTAACCTGCCCACATGGCTTGCAGCCTAACCCTGACTAATGTCCGACAGTCAAGGTTATGTCTGCCTAAAATCTGTCCTGCGGACAAAAGCACTTTTGAGAAGGTTACATGAAATGATACATTACATCTTGATCTACTGACAAGAAAAAATGTATTTGCAATGTAGCATGTCACTTATGCTGATGAGCACGGGCAGTAATGTGAGAATAATGTACTTTCTCTTGTTGGCAGATTTGCAGAGTGCCAGGCATAGAGCTGAAAGCAAAGCTAATGAAGAAGTAAGAAGCTCTGAGAAGAAGCAACGGGCTTCTCTCAGGTAAGGGGAAAGAAACCTGGCTCCTGACAGGCACTGTCAGGAAACCTCAGCCACTGATTTCTTGCTTGCCTGCTTTATTTTAAAAAATTATGTTAAAATAGAGGAAATACAGTTTTTTCACTGTGGAACTGTCAGCAGATTCCATGGATGGATAGTTTGTATATTAAAACAAAAAACAAAAAAGCAAATCTATAGCACACATTACTCAAATTTTCTTCTTCTGTTGACACTTTGGAGGACATGCAGTGTCTTTTTAGATGCCATCTGCAAATATTGTACCTATTAGTGAAGTTTATAGCACAGCCTTTTGGCTGAAAGTGTCCTAAAACCTTCACCTTCATAGAGCTCCTGCCTTTCTCTGCCCTCCTTCTAGCCTATCTTTTTCGCTGGTCAGCTCAGTTAGCTCCAAGCTTTATTAACTCTGTCTCATTTACCAGGTCAGAGCCAGACTGGCTTCTCCTTGCCACCTTTCCTCCTAAAGGAAGCAGCTTTGAGCTGGCACTGGATACAGTACCTAGCAGAAGGAGGGAAGCAGCAGAGCAGCTGCCACATCAGCTTTAAGTCAATGTCTCCCTTACAGAATTACTTATTAGGTTGTACCTAATTCCATGTAGGAATTAGCCTGCTTGCTTAGAACCAATATATTTAATGTAATCTTGCAGGAAAATTGGGATAATTTAATTTATCTTTCTTTTCCCCCCCCCCCATAAATTTCAGAATACATTTCACCACTTGAAAAAATACCTGTCTGTTGTCTTTCAATGGAATCCAGCCTGTGTGACTCAGAGTGCATCCATTTCCACTGCACAAGCACAGTGGTTTCTTTTATGAACAGCTGCAGGTACACTTGCAGCCATCTACAGATTAGATAAAGAAAGGTTTTTAGTTCTTCCCTAGCAGAATGTACAATATTATCTTGGATGCCAGTCCACAACAGGTCTTTTTGCTCTGAAAATGTGTAATCATGTGTATGATGAGTTCTACCTACCTGATAGGCATTACCTGCACTGAACTTCAGAGTATGTGATAATAATTTGCAATGTATTTTTCAAGTATTAAAATTTTTTACAGCTAAGAAAAATGTTAATCTCTTGGTCAAATGGAGGTCTGCTATTCCTTTTCTGAATTTGTTATTTTAATGGATAGAAAAACAAATCAAAAGCAGGTAATTTTGATGCATTGTAATGTAGATTAGTTGCTCCAAACAGGTCATCTTGGTGTATAGGTTTGATGTAGTTTAGGGTTTTGTGTTTCATGCTAGGGCAGAGGGAAGTGTTTGCTGAAATGCTACAGTAATGACATTGAATCATTAGTTGCATTTGTTTCTTCAGCTGCAAATTAAAAAAAAAAAAAAAATCTAGTTTTGGCTTTCCTTGGATTTAGAGATATTTGTCCAAATACATGTATTTAGTTTAATAAATTTATAAGGAGAGGGAATATTCAGTTTTATTAAAATTGACAACAAAACTGTGCCTCCCTTTTTTGGATAGAGTAAAAATGCTAGTGAGTTATCCCAATGAGTAAGTCCCAGTACAATCAGATTTCAGATTAAAAAAAGACTAAAATGACTTCTACTCTTCTGTTAGCAACTCTGTACAAAATCTTTTGCAAACTAAAGAACACTCCACATGATCTAAAGAATACTCCGTGGTTTTGCTTGCTGGCCCAGATGTGGTGTTCAGATTCCCTCTGCCCAATAGCAAAGGTTTGCCCTGTGTGAATTTAATGGACTGTTTGTGTTTGATAATCTATTGCAAAAATCCCCTTTCAGTTTGAAGTCCCCTTCCCATCCACCTTAATGTCTTGTTTTTGCACACGTAGTGGTTTTATGAGCAGCAGCCATTTCCACTTAAATCCACAGTCATAGAGGTATCAAATATTGAAGTAGAATCTTGGCTCTGCTCCATTTGTCCTTTTCGTCCCTTAGGTTAGAGGCTTCCTCCACAGGATAAACCTGTATCTTCAGCTGAGCAGATCAGTGTCAGATAACTGTCAGCATCTGACAGTTTTTGTTGCATCTCATTAAATGTGGGCAGGCTGAAGATTGCCCTGTGCATCTTGCAGGGGTGTTTGCGCTCTCTGGCCAAATTGCTGACCCTCAGAAAAGCTCCCTGAGGCCCATATCAGAATCTCACGATATTAATGCAGAGTTTTCCCCTTTGAAAGCAGCAACAAGGACTTGTGAGAAGCGCGCACATTTCACAAATTCAGTTACTTAGGAATTCTAGGCCAGATGTGATTAATATTCAAGGTAAAATGGATAGAAATGTTTTTATCCTGAAGGTGGGAGATAGATGGGTTAGATTTTTCATCTGCTGGAAGCTACAGGCAGGAGTTTTTACCTGTAGGGCTAATACAAGTATCAAGATCAAGTAACTAGATTCTTAGCTAGCTTGCCTGGCATGTGTGGTATAAAATTAATGGTGGAAGAGCACCAGCAGGCAACTTTGTGGATTGGGAGTCTTTGTGCCATTCTAGTTTATATTTCATTTAGTGCAACAGGGAAGATATGACGCATGCCAGCCTCTAAAACATCTTCCTTTTACCCACAGATAAACATTCTCACTCTTTCTTTCCTGCTTAAGTGATTTCTCCCTGACTGGCTTAAACTCAATGTTATCAGCAAGTGTAGCTTTCAAGGAATGTCCCTGCATTTTTCTACCCTGCGCTCTTGTCACTGCTCTGTTCCCCTTACCAACTATATTGCTGTGTGCTTATTACCATCAGAATGACAGTCCACCGTGGGAATTTTAGAAAGGGCTTTCATACACTCCACAAACACTTAAGCAGATGCCTTTTTTTATTAAAAACAAAACAAAACCAAAACCCAGCAACACCACTGTATATTTTTACACCCTGTGCTTGATGCATGGCTGTTGCATGCCTGTGTCTTCCCATGTGTATGCAGGAGAGCACTGTGGGGCTGGATGCCAGACGCTTCAGTTCTCAGAAGTACTTAAAGTTCTCTTTGACAGTGGAGCACATCTCTCATCAGTATATAATTGCTTCACTGTGTATATTTGCATGAATATTGTCAAATGTCATCTTGCATGTAAGAAAGCTATTAGAATGCAGTCCTGTGGCAGTGCTGGTGTAGTTTTTCTTTGCTGTCTTGAGAGAAATGGAATTTATTACAGTAACAAAAAAACTGGTTCCCTGTTAACTTAGTTTTCAACAGACAGTGCTGTATACAGTCTTGCTTAATTGTGTTGGATCAAACCCAATGATATTTTTACTGGGTTAACTGTGCATTTTCTTCAGCACGTGTGTCCCAATGGTTTCCGTAGGCAATTCATGCCTGGCAACTTCAGTTAGCCAGGTTCTAGCCCCAGAGATCTTTTATGTTGACCTGACAAAGTGTAACAACCTGTAAAGGTGTGTCTGAGGCAGGAAAGGTACTGAGTTAGCTATGTATCCAAAAAATAAAGGATATCTGGACATTCCCTCTTTTTTGACAGTACCCCATGTCACTTCTAGAGTTCAAAGCTGACTCAGAGTCTTTAAAGCTTACCTGCTTTCGAGGCAGAGTCTCCTCCATTCAGGAGACTCTACCTCTGTCAAAGTAGAGGAAAAATGATCTTCCAGGTAGGTCAAGTCTTGCGACTTCTATCAAAGAAACTGTAGACCTGTGTCTGACAGAGACAGGGGGACTCATTTTTGTAATGTCCCTGAGCAGTACTGTGCTAGACCAGGAAAGCAGTTTGTGCCAACACTCAATGAGATCAGCAGCCTCTGGAGACCTGGAAATGTGTTAATAAACTAAAAGCGGAGTACTGGGCACCACACAGTACAGAGCCCATATTTAGTAACTGGTGTGGGATACAAGACCAAATTCTGGTCTTAGGTTGACATCAGTGCAATGCATAGAGAAAGCGCAAACCCTATCTTGTGGTCTTGGAGACTGAACTATCTGAATGATGGGCAGTGACTTCATCAAGAGTTTTCTGCTTATCCTGTTTGTTATATTGAAAATATTGTTCGTATCTGCAAACATCCATTTAAATTGCTGAATTAAATTGTTCAGCATTACGGGCTACACCACTGTAAACTTCTGCCTGATTTTTTTCTGCCTCATAAATGAATGGTATTTCAGATATTCATTCTCAGGAAATAGTTCTGCTATAAATAAAATTGCAAAGCAGAGCAGGAAAAGGAGTCGAGACTCAGAACCCAGCGGCTGATCTGACCTTATTAATTGTATTTTGGAAAGCTGTGGTTATCTCTGGGTGGCCTACCAACACCTTCTCTTCTCAGGCACTCTCCAGTTACTACACCTGAGCTGTTGCCTGTCGTACTGAAGCAGATACACATGAACGTTTATCTGACACGAGGCTTACCTCAGTGCTTCCTGACAGTGGTGGGAACAGTCATGAATCAAACAGCAGGTTTTCTTTGGCATGTCCAAATTAAAGAATCAGTTGAATGGTTTGGCCCTAAGACAGAATGTAATAAACCCTAGGAGCATTTTTATTTGTTTTTGCATGCATGATGCAATTTGAAAGCCTCTTTTGCTTTGCAACATCAGTGTCGATTTATATGAGGGGAAAGAACAGTCAGTTCAGGCCTATCAACTTAGCAAATCCGGTCATCCAGAATTTCAAGCATTTGTTGTTTCTGTGTGAGCAACTCCTGTCACTTCAAAGGGGCCATTAGTTGTTGGTTTGCAGATGGTGATAACAACTTTAAAGAAGTTCTGCTGAATTGTAATGTTGCT